GCATGACTGGGGCGGAGGGAGCTGGCAGAGCCTGTCAGACTGGGGCAGAGGGAGCTGGCAGAGCTGGGTGTGGCTGGGGTGGTGGGAGCTGGCAGAGCTGGGTGCCATGGCAAAAGTGGGTGTGGGGCAAAAATCAGGGATTCTTGGTTGACATGGTATTGCCTGTGAAATTCCAGAGGGCTGGCCCTGGTCAGCCCTGGCAGCCCACCATATTATACGGTCCCAAACCGAAGAAAAAATCGTATTTTCATCGGTTTGGGACCAAAGAATCTGGATGCCAAAACTCAGTTGAAGATTGTTCCAAGTTGAATTCAACCCATTTTCAATATGAATTCAGATAAGTTGATCATATAAGTTCAGCATGAATTCAGCACAAATTTAACATCAAATGAGGGCAAGGTTCTAGGAGACATCTGACAGGGTTCCAGATGAATACTACGCAATGGCACTTGAAAGCAGGTGCTGAGCAAACTCCCCTGGTGTAAACAGCGGTGAAACTGCACTTTTTAAGCCTGGTGTTGCGCTGAAAAGCGTAACTTAGTGGCATTTTTCTTTTTGAGAGGGGTGCAATGGAAAAATAAAACTCTAAATTATAAGACATCGAGGGAGGTTGAACTGAGAAGAAGTAGGCATAAAAAAATTCATCAAAAGAAGAAGCTTCATTGGTTGTTCTTTGTGAATTGAGGTTTCAAAATGAAGTATCATTTCTTCTGCTTTGTGAATTTGGGACTCTTCTCGGCCGCCCGGATTATGGCTTCGCAGTCAGAAAACTCCTCTGCCATCTCCACACCATTACGGAGCCACAAGTGGCTGCTTATACACCGTTCAATCGTTCGAATTCCAAGGGAACTCCTTTCAGACCCACATACATTGGCTGCAGCTGAAAAGGTTAGTTCCACAGTTGCCGAGCTGGCTGAACAGGCCAAGTAATCTTGGGCCAGAGATCCCAGGACTGGGAAGTCTTTGCAGTGTATCTACACATATGCTGAATCAGCAATCATATTTAGATTTAGTGAAAAAATTATCACTATTGCTTACCTTCCACCAATCTAAAGGCTTCCCTTTCTTATCCAGGGGGAGGTTACCCGTACTGTAACGTTCCAATTCAGTGTTCTCCTCAGTTGCCTGGGAATTGATTGGGTAGTAATTGAATTTGTTCCCATCTGAATCTGAGTCCGAGGATGAGTTGTCAGTTGTTTGGACTTGAGTTGGAGGAGTGGTCGGTGGTTGGTTTGCTTTTAGTTTGTCGCTCCTAGCATCAAAGACCTGCTTAATCAGATCGCTTATGCAAAGGATGTGAGTGTCAAATCAATTCGTGAATAACATCATTTGCCATGCAGGCAACGCTGCCACAGATACGGTATCTGCCTGTATCTGCCATGTATCACTATGTATCTGAGCCCCAATAAAAAAAACTATCTGACCAATCTGCTTTTATTTGCAAGGAGATTCAACAAATTTGGTTCTTGGCCATGCAGCTTTGCAGAATTCTACATGATACACACAGCGTATCGTATCTGTGGCAGCGTTGATGCAGGGTGAAGAAATGTTGCCAAGATGACTGTATCGCATTGCAAAGCAATATTCAAGTATTTGTTTGCTACCTTGATCATTGGATCATACATTGCTTCCAAAGGGGAAAACCAAGAAGCCCGCTTCTTCTTTTCAAGAGAATCCAAGAGTCGTATGTATTCATACAATACCATTGCTAGAAGAGGTCGGTGTGGTGGTCCAGGCTGTTGTGCGCAACAAAACTGCCAAAACCCCTACCTTACAACCTAAACCCCTGGCATATATGAACATATTATTGCATAATCAGAATCTGCATACAATTTTACCCATAGTCACTCACTACAGCTATACCTCTATCTCTATTAGTTTAGAAGATAATCCAATATAAAGGTTAAAGCCATACCATAACTAGTCATTAATTAGTATTTAATAGTATTTTTACCACATATATAAGTACATACACATAAATTATTACATCAGCAGGCTTCCACCAGTAGCGCAGAGCAGTTATGCAACTTTTGCATGCATATGTGCAACCATTAGGCCTTCACTTAGTAACTTAATTGAATTTACGCAGACTTCTCATAAATGCACGTGGACAAAAACCTCCACCAGGCAGTGCAACCAGTTATGCAATCCTTACATACAGTAGTACCATTTTTAGTTATTTCCACAGCATAATTAGCTCAATGCATGTACTCTTTGCAGGAGGCAGTGCAACCCACAAGGTCACCACCAGCAAAATCACCTCAACTGCATCACCACCAGCAAAAATAACTCAGAAAAGAATATATAAGGAGGCCACTCCTTCACCAATTCCCCCCATCATCACCCAGCTGGTTCATCCCCTCACAACCAGCTCAGTGGTCATCATCATCATCATCACTCAGCAGCCCAGCTCCCAGACAGCAAGCTCAAGTGGTCATCAACATTCAAGACTAGTCAACACCAGCAACAACACCAACACCAACACCAACACCAACACCAACACCAACAACAACAACAACAACAACAACCAACAGTTTCACTACTTATCCAGAATCACCTTAAAATATAAAACCCTATAAAATATTCTGCTTGGATTGTTTTCACACTCACATTCACCGTCTAAAGGTTGTACAACCATCTTGTATTGAATTACAGTCACCTCCCAGATGTTTATAGCCAGTTTGTTTGGATTGCACAACCCCAACCCATCAACTGGAACTCATGAGACTTGGGCAAGTCGTATAAAATAGGTTTCAGAAAATTATTTTGAAAACAAAAATATGAAAAACTGATTTCTAAAATTTAAAAAAAATATTACAGTTATTGCACTTTTTTCAGAAGTGTTAATATTTCTCCAAATGAAAAAAAAAATTGGAAATTGGAGTAGGGTATGCTGGAGAAATGATAATAACTGATTTTTTTTAAAAAAAAATAAATACCAGATGGTTTTAAACTGGTGTGGAGTGAGGCATCCACCAGACTCACAGTGGAAAATAAATTGGAAAAGGCAGTGTGATCAAATTCAATTTGCATTTTGACCTGGATACTGAGCTCTGAATAATTTCTGGAGTTCATTTTTTCATTTATTATCATTTTCCTTGCATACCATACTACTCTTTCCCATTTTTATCTTATCATTTCAAGCAATATTGAAACTTTTGAAAAAAGTTCAATAAGTGTAATATTTTTTGCAAATTTCCAAAATCAGTTTTTCATATTTTTTGTTTTCAGAATCATTTTTTGAAACCTATTTTATACCAATTTATCAAGTCTCATGATTTTAATTTGGTGGTTTTAGGGTTGTGTAATCCAAACAAACTGGCTATAAACATCTGGTAGGTGACTGTACATACTGATCTAGGTCTGATAGAGACTACTACATATAAATTTCTCTCTGTCATAAAGTTACCCCACAGCAATAAATTAAATTGTTGTCAGAATTCTTGTGTAGTAAATAGAGGGGCAGGTCTTTCAAACCACCCGTAACAGTAAATATTAGTTAGTGAAATATCATATTGTTATTTCCCCCTCAAGGACTGCCAACCCATCCCAAAGGAGTTCTCACATTGGTCTCCTTCCATTCTCTTTGTCATATCCAAGAAATCCTTAAAACTTGGAAGGTAAGGGAGATAGATATGTTAACAACACATTGAGCCGAGCCAATTTGGATGATTTATCTGACCTTGAGAACTAGGTTCAAGTTATTCACATCCTCCCACTCCTTTGAGCTCAACTCACAAGACTTGAAAAAATGGGTGGAAGCCAATCTACCCAAACACTTTTCTGACTCATTATCAAGAAGCTGTTTGATGACCTGCAATACCCAACCTTAAGAATGCAAAAAAATGTATTTCTTTGAGAGAACCCTTACCCGTCTGCCCTCCCAGGCTCTCTGACGACTCTCATAAGCAATGTTCCAGCGTATTCCATAGCCGCTGATGACTTCACAACCGTTATAGCCAAGCTTACTTGCCCATAATTTCCACTCAGCCTGCTTCTGTGGTGAGGAGGCTATTTGACGACATATGTAATCGATCTAAAAATTGACACAATATTATTGATCAACAACCATGGGCTTCATCAAAAGAAAACCTGAATCCTACCTTCTTGAGGGTCAACCCTATCCCTGAAGTGGCATCATCAACATCATTGTCCATGAATAACTCTGAGTTGGCCTCAGGAGTCTAAGAAACTGCATCATTGGGATTGATTTCTTCTTCATCAGATGTATCCGTCAGTTCGACTATTTCCTCCTCATCCTCGACCTCCTTTTCTTCTGTTATTATTGGGAAAATGTTGGTCGGTCTTTTCAGGCTGGAGGATCTTTCTTGAAAGCTTCAGTGCCTTGAGCCCAGCTCCTAAGATTAGAGCAATTACATGGCAGATACAGCGATGGTGGTTCTGTTCCACATCCCATTGGGTGAAATCGGCGCTCAAGAAGATTGAGGCTACTTCCTTAGCCATAGTAAAGTTGTTGCTGCCGGAGTTGGTTGTTAGTGCAAGAACGTAAAGTCAGAAATAATATTTGTTAGCCTAGGGAACACCGGTAAAAATAGAACAGAGAACTTCAACTAATCTTTGGATGAAGCTTTCGTTTAACCAGTGTATTTGCCAATGGAGATGCAAGATAGATTCCATTATGGTGCCAGGAGACATACTTGATCGCAAGATGCTGAGAAACAAAGGTCCAGTTCTTATTGATGTAGCAGCAAGAAATACCTATGAACGCCTTGTGACTGCCTTTAGTGGTCCAAACATCCGACCCAATTGATATTTTTGATTCAGATTCCTAATCGATCAAAGCAAAAATCAGAAATAATCCAAAATGACAGATGAATTAGAGGTAGCAGGTGAGCTGGGAAAGTACAAATCTTGATGGATTTAAGGAATGTCAATTCAAGTTCAGCATAAAGCTTGTGTGCTTGAAAAGCAGCCCAAATCCGAGATCGGAGTTGAGAATTATGAACAGCATAATCAAAACAAACTCGGAGAAGATAATCTTCAATTCGAATCCACGGAAGAGAATGTCTAACGACCCAGATTACAATGAGCTTGTTCATTGTATCGTTGTTGTAGCATCCTTTTGAGGTATAAGCGTTCAGATTTCCAGCGGTTTCGGTTTGGTTCTTGGCGGCTTCTTTGACAAGTTCCAATGCTGTTGGTGGGAGTTTGCAACCGGCCTCAATGGCCTTGGCTCTTCCTGGGCAGGCTGACCTTATAGTTCCTTTATTGTTTGACCCATCCCGATGAATCTTGAGGTTGTAGTTGGAATTTGCTTGTGCTAGGTATGCATTTGGGCACCATCGACAGGCCCAAGTCATTGCATCCGGGGCCTAAATTTCAAATTGGATTGTCACTGATAAGCCGTAATGCAATGACTATATTTATAGATATTGAACTAATACCTGTTTTGGACCGGTTCCAGGAAGGTAAAAGAAACTGCGTGGATGGTCGTACCCATCTTTTGGTTTTCTGGTTGTCTTTTTGGTGACTTTTTCGTTTTCTTCATCGGAATCCTGGGCAAGATCAATATCCACCGCTTGGCCAGTGCGTTTGGAAACTTGAGTAACCGTTTGCTGTTGAAGAGATCAGAAATTAGTTTTATTGGCTGATTCAATGCCAATTAATGAAAATCATATCAAAAGCTCCAATAAGTTACTTTTTTCTTTCCTTGGTGGGTACCTGCTGAGTCACCAGACAAATGGACCACAACATCTTCAGATGCAACTCTCTCTTGGTTGTTTCCATTGCCTTCACTGACATCCAGGATTTGGGTTTGCTTTGAGGTGCCTTTGGCAACAAGAGACCGACGATAATCATTTTGGGGTTGGACGTAACCGGCACGGACAACAGGGGTTCGGAGTCGAGATGATTCCCTTCGAACAGATTGTGTTGTATTGTCCTCAGGTATCCGAGTGAGTTGGTTGGGCGGGGTGGTAGGGGCAGTGTCTTTGGTCATTTTCAAAAAGGGGGGGGGAGTAAAAATCAAGCAGGGTGGTGAGTCCAAAAGTAAGTGAGGGGGTGGATGTGGAATCAATGGGGTGGCTGGTGGGTAGTCTGAATTCCGTGGAAAAATGGCATGAGGGGACAGATTGTGGTTCCAGCAGTGGTGTGGGTGCCTCTGCGCAGTGGCAGTCCACTACTTGGGGGACAAAAAGTGCAAAAAGCGGTATTTTCCGCTATTTACAGCAGAATTAGTGCAGTGCAAGCGCAATTTTGCTGCACTAACACTCCCTACTTCACCAAAAAAGCGCAGGAATGCTAAGTTTAGCTGAAGTGGCAGCAGACCCCGCTGCCACTTCAGCTATTTGTCCTGGGGCTGCAGCGGGGTAGCACTGCACTGCGCTAAAACCACCGCTTTCTGTAGCGCAGTGCAGCGCTTCACCCTTGATTAGACTTTGACCAGGTACTAATCCCTCAAGATGATGGGTAAATGAGGCTAGATCCCTTCACACCGTAGGAATGGTAGACTTCTATAGCTCAGGAAAAAAACCTAGTAGTGTAAACAGGGTACGGTGGATCGACTGGTTGACTCAGATTGTTTGTATCTGTTTTGGTTCTTGCTCCGAGATAGTGTAGGATGACTCAAAATGAAAAAATAAGATTTTTTTGAAGGTTCACGGACGTATTTTTTAAGGGTTTTTAATTTTTTCTGTGTGGATGAATCAAATGGAAATATACTGAAATATTTTTGTGATTTTTGTGGCACGAGAGGAGTAAAACAGATAGCTTAAAAAATTTTATTTTTGTATTTTTTGGTGTTTTTATTTCTGATACTAAGAAAATGAGATGAGATGAGATAAAAACAAGTCTAATTTATTCCAAATCCGTGAGGGCTATGATTATAGAGTTGGGATTTGGCGGAGAACAAGCAGTAAAAGGTGGAAGAGTGAAGTGGCGGACTGTTCTAGACAAGATGTTAGTAGGAAGAGTTCTATATTTTAGAGTTTCCTCTTGCGCTGTAAAGAAGTTATTTCTATTTGTTTCTACTGTTTTTTCTATTATGGACACATCCTCTTCTAAAAGGTTTATGAGAATGTGGTCAGGGGAGTAGGTAGAGTGAAGGGTACAATAGTAGCGCTTTGTTTCTGTGTAGTTCCAAAATCTATCTTCTGCTTCTGTTACTTTTATTTTTTCTACTCTTTCAACAACTGTAATGTTATCCGGGTGGTTATGGTAATATCTACTAGCTTCCTCAGAAATGGTACTATCTATTTGTCTAATAAATGGCAAAACTTCAGGCATTTGTTCTTCAGAAGGCCACTTTTAGTAGTAATGGTTTTTGGGGACAAGAGGTAAAGAGAAGCATGGAGATATGTTAGTCATGGAATTCCAATTAGGCCAGACCCCCAATTGTCAGCCTCTGGGTAACTAACCTGAGTATTAAATAGTAAAAAGGTTGTTACTATGAGTTGACTGAAGTTTTTGAGCGTGGTGAGTGTTAGGTAGTGGGTGATTAATACCAGTCCTGTAATGAGGAGGTTTCACTCTATCAGTATGGTCTTTACTGAGAGGCTTGCTATCAACAGCGCATCTGGATCAATACAAGGTATTAATAGGCATCCAGGGTACTAAGAATCACCTGGGATTGGTTTGTTTATTCCCAAAAGGGAATGGGCTAACAATACTTATTAAGCTTTAACAAAATTAGTTGAAGATTAATAAATAGGGGCTTGGAAAAACGACTCCCAAATTTTAGTCTCCGACTCCCAAATACGGTCGTCCAACGTCGAATGGGTGTCGTTTTTCCAGATGGATGGCTGACTTTGGGAGTCGGCCATCCAATGATGTTTTATTTTTTTTAATATTTTTTTTTAGCATTTTTGGGAGTCAGATCCCCAAACCACCCCTCATGCTTGAGGGGATTTGGGAGTCGCTCCCACATGAACAGAAGGAATCCCTTCCGGTTGATGAGGTGTAACAGCCCCATTGACCGGAAGGAATCCCTTCCGGTTGATGAGGTTGTTACACCTCATCAATTGGAAGGAATCCCTTCCGGTCCTCATTGATCAAAAGGGATTCCTTCTGATCGATGAGGTGTAACAACCTCATCGACCAGAAGGGATTCCTTCCAGTCAATGAGGTGTAACAACCTCATCAACCAGAAGGGATTCCTTCCAGTCAATGAGGTGTAACAACCTCATCAACCAGAAAGGATTCCTTCCGGTCGATGAGGTGTAACAACCTCATCAACCAGAAGGGATTCCTTCCAGTCGATGAGGTTTAACAACCTCATCAACCAGAAGGGATTTTTTCCGGTCAATGAGGTGTAACAACCTCCTTCCAGTCGATGAGGTTTAACAACCTCATCAACCAGAAGGGATTTTTTCCGGTCAATGAGGTGTAACAACCTCATCAACCAGAAGGGATTCCTTCCAGTCGATGAGGTGTAACAACCTCATCAACCGGAAGGAATCCCTTCCGGTTGATGAGGTGTAACAGCCCCATTGACCGGAAGGGATTCCTTTCGGTTGATGGTGCTGTTGTATCTCATCGGCCGGAAGGATATCCTTCCGATTGATGAGGTGTAGAGCCTAGACCGGCCGGAACTTTGGTCACAAAGATTGGTCTCGATGGCCGGAAGGGGTTCCTTCCGGCCATCAAGATTGTATGGTCTTGATGACCGGAAGGGATTCTTTCCGGTCATTGAGACTGTACAGTCTCAATGACCGGAAGGGATTCTTTCCGGTCATTGAGACTGTACAGTCTCAATGACCGGAGGGAATCCCCCCGGCTAGTGGGAGGGAGGCGACTCCCAAACCTCCACTTGCCAAGGAGGGTTTTGGGTGCCGACTCCCCACCCAAAAAATAAATTTTAATAAAAAACAATTGGGAAGTTGACTCCCAATCCCCCAGGGGGAATTGGCAAGATGACTCCCGTCTGACAACCCCTCGACCAAAATGGGAGTTGTCGGCAAATTTTATGGAGTCGTTTTTCCAACCCCCTAATAAATATTGTTAATGGGAATATTCAGCAAGGCTATGAATATTGTGGATAAGTTGAGTAAGAGTACTGAAGCTTAAGAACAATAAATATAGACTAGATTTATATTGGTTACGTGTAATGTATCAATATAAATGTTAACTGTTTTAACTGGTGTCTGAATATTCTGGGGATTAATCAGTGGAAGTGGCAGGGATTATAAGTTCCAGAATATTACATGGGGAAATGAAGAAGTGCTCTGAATCACGGTTGAAAGTACCAAGAGGGAGAGCAGTGTTAATTGAGTAACTGATCTTTATTTGTAATGATATTTTATAGCTGTCATAGTATTTACTAGAGGATCATTAAGTAGTATTTGTCAGCTTGCTACTATGGCAGAGACAACCTGTCATAAGCAATTAAAAATATTAAATTACATAAAAAGTCTAAGAATAAAGTAAAAATATTACATAAGTAAAAATAACCCTATTTACTTATGTAAATAACATAAAAACACATAAAATAAATAAATAACTAAGAAAGAATAAAGAAATCTTTAATTATTATTGCAGATTCTGAATCTGCGTACAATTTAACCTAGGGTACCTCAGCCAAAGGTACCCTTAATTCCCACTCCTTCATCCCATACACAACACTTGATTAATTACCAAGTACCAGCGGTGGGCCGCTACGGGCCCATGTAGCGTTAGCGTAGCGGCGCCAAATTTTTTTTTCGTGTAGTGTTAGCGCGCCGCTACGGCCGCTGCGCTACGCTAACTTGTAGCGGCGCTGACACTAGCCATTTTTTGGTGTAGTGTTAGCGCCCCACTGGCGCCGCTACGCTGCGTTACGCTGCGCTACAGCGTTTTTAGCGGCAAAAAACGCCAAAAAACCGCTAAAAACTGCTGTAGCGCAGCGTAGCGGGCGGTTTTTTGCACCCTGTGTGCGTAGCGTTTGCGCTAACGCTACGCTAAACGTTAGCGCATTGTTTTGCCCCGTGCGCGTAGCGTTAGCGCTGAAAATGAAAAAAGTGCTAACGCTACGCTACATTGTAGCAATTTTTTTCTACACTACGCTACGCTAACGCTACAGTTAGCGTAGCTGGCCCACCGTTGCAAGTACCTTTAGATCACGGGCACTGGAAAATTATGCATCTTACATAAGAATATGCATATACTCCAAATCTTGTCACGGATTTGGAGTGTTGTGTATAGTTTAGAAGATAGACCAGCGTGGCGTGTACTGCCTCCAAGCCCGCGCGCCGCGTAGTCATGCTGCGCACTGTTGACAAGAGCGCCTGACTACAATTGAGCCCAAGGCTCAAGCCCCCGCGCGTGCTAGGTATGCCTACCCGCCTTGGATACATGCATAAACCCCTCTGGGTTACCAGTATCCAAGGAATGGGCCACAAAGCCCCAGAAACTCATTGTGCACGTGTCAACAATGCCCCCACACGTGTAATAAAAATATAAACAAGATAGAATATTCATGAATATACTACAGTAACTCTGGATATTCCATCTTCCAGTTTGTAGCACGTGTAACAAGCCCCAGAAACCAGTTCTGGCACATTCTATGGCCCATTTCCAAGGTAATGGCTCCACGTAACAGACTACCCCTTACCCACAGGCTCCCAAGGAGTATTCTTGGTTCAAATAAACTCGTGCTTGACCCCTTGGAGCTTCTAGAATTTTATCCCCAAGGTTTCAGCCCTTGTTACGTCTCTAGGTGGGCCAAAATGGCCCAAAAAGCGTGCTCAAGACCTACTAAGATCCCCTGAGCAACCCCTGAGGCTTTCCACAGGTATTTAAAGGGCCTTCTGACCACCCAAATAATGATCCCCCAGCTTTACAATACTTTATAGAAATTTACTTACCATTTACAAGTCTCCTACACTTGTAATTAGCCTAGTTACTACTATAAATTGCTGTTATTAAGCCTCAAGAATCCTCAAGAAACTCCCCAGTGATCACCCAGCACCCAAATTCCACATTTTTGAGCGCTTTCAACTGCCCAGTTTCTACTCTGAAGATCTTCAAGACCCTACAGGATTATTACTAGTGAGCAATGACCCTTTTCTTGAGATTTTTCCCATTATTTCTTACTGGGATATAAACCACCCCTGCTTACAGGCCCCAGTGTACCAGGTACCTAAATCCTCTGCTTTTTTCACGATACCTTTGAGGGTTTATCTTAATTTTATTAATATAAATTAGCCACTTTTTTCCCAAAAAATACCCATAAATTCCTTTCTTTTATTGGAATTTATTCCTTTAAAATTTATACCAAAAAACCTTTAAGCCTTTTTGCTTGCTGTTGCACCAGGTTGAGCTAGAAGATTTTATATCTTGGCATCACGTAGGCTGACAGTATTTGTGATGTGTACAGCTAACAGATCCTTTCAAATAAAATAACAAATAAGGATCCGTGCATGTATTGATTGTATTACTTCAATTGTTACACAACAATATGCAAACAATACATGTACATTTTATTTGTAATGATTCTTGTCCGTGATGACTTGGGGGACAAGGATAATTAATGATGAAGTCATTATTAGGATCACACAATAATTAATGAGGTCATTATTAATATTAGTACATGTATTGATTGTATTTATTCAATGATTAATTGATACTCAACATTCAAGGCATGTACATATTTCTTTATAAAGGTATTTGACCGTGAAAATACTGTAGAACAGGGATAACTTGTGGTACAGGAATTTCACGGGTAAATGAGTGAAAAGTAAGTGATTATTACTTAAGTACGGAATCTGTATGTATTTAATAGATAAGTAATTACTAAGATAAGATAATGATAATGATAAGATAACAAGAGGTAAAGGTAAACAACATTATGGATAAGTACTTATGTACATAAGTACAGGTGTTGCAGTTACTCGGTACATGAAAGGTACTGTGACATGTACTCTGTGGCTGACAGGGCTCATTGAATGCGTCGGCAAAGGAGCTGAGCCGACAGGAAGGAAAGTAATTCTGCCATCAAATTTCATTGGAGGCCCCCGTGCTATGGATCAACTTTATCAAGATGCTATGGCTATTGTCAGGGACTACGGTCTTCCCGACCTCTTTATTACTATAACGGCTAACCCCAATTGGCCTGAACTTAAAGATCTGATACCCCCTGGAGACGACTATAATAATCATCCAACAATCATAGCCCGTCTATTTAAACTGAAATTAAAATACTTCAAGCATTTGATTGTCAAAGGAGAATATGCTTGGGGCCAGTTTTTGCCTTTGTTGCAACCATCGAATTTCAAAAATGTGGTATGCCACATATGCACTTGATGGTTATGCTAGCTCCAGGACACAAGCCTACTACACCCAAAAAGATCGACAAATTAATTTCAGTTGAAATTCCCGACTCCGTAACTGATCCAGAATTGTACAACATAATTCAACTTTGCATGCTCCATGGTCCTTGCAAGGGACGTACATGCATGAAAAAAGGTAGATGCCGCTTTTGCTATCCCAATTCTTTTCAATATGAGACAACAATTGTAGAAGGCTCCTATCCTTTATATCGATGCAGGGAAAATGGGAATATGATCAAGAAGGGACCATCAATTTTCAATAACACCCATGTTGTTCCTTATAATAAGGTTTATTTCCATTAAAATGAACTGTCATGTGAATGTTGAAGTAGCAGTTGGCATCCAGGCTTTTAAGTACTTGTACAAGTACATATGCAAAGTTCACGACTGCTCATACCTCACAATTGAAGACAACGACAAAACCAAAGTGTTTATTGACGCGCAGTACATTAGTCCTCCAGGAGGTTAGTCTAAACCCCAAGCAACCTAATATTTTGTATGAGGCTTATTTTTTGATTTTGGCTTCAGCTGCATGGCGCATTTTCCAATTTGAATTGTCAGACTGATTTCCAGCAGTCCAAAGACTTGGACTTCATGAAGAAAACAAACAATCTATTGTTTACACTTCTACTGCAGATGCTATCGCTAAACTCTCTGACAAAAAAGCAAGGAGGACTGAACTTACAGATTTTTTCAGGTTAAACAGAGACAATGTTGTGGTAAGACCAATCAAAACCTGTTACACCTTTCTACCACCTTTCTGGACCATTTCCACACCTTCTAAATATCATAACACCCCTCAAATCAACATCCTACATATGTAATACACTCATGGCCACCTTCAATCATCCCACAGAAACTTCCATCAGAAGCACAAAGTCCAACAACCCATCAGTAACACTTCACATGGATCACCAGCCACACTTGGTAATAAAATAAGTACAAATCAGGTATAAAGTGGGAGAAAGTCCACCAGCAGAGAGAGACAGACTATTAGGAAAGACCCCTGTTCTTCATCATCCTTGTTACTCTTTATTACTTACCATGGCAAATTGTTACAGTAGCCTCATATGTCATGTTTCCATCCCTGTTGCTTCAGCCTTGTTTCACCCTTGTCACACATGTCATTCCCAAGCCTGTCTCCCAAGCATTATTGCTCCCTGGTCATTGATTTAGCATTACTTCCTTGGAATATATTGAGCATTACAGAATTAAAAAATTTCACACAGACTTATTATCCTCATACCTTACCCTTTTACAAATCTTACATCTTCATTTAGCCACACCTTTCTTTAAGAGTCCATACTCTTATTTCTTGTTCTTCTTACTCTCCCAGTAACCTGAGAGGCAGCCCTTCAAGCATTCATCCCTCTCTAAGCCTTATTCCCACCAAAGAGTAGTTCCACAACGTCAAAGGGAATTTAAAGGATGCCCGGGATTGTTACTATCACGAGATTCCTAACTATTTTGTCTGGGATAAATCAGTGAACATGTGGCAGCCAAGGAAAAATGCTTTGAAGAGTGTTGGGCGATTGCGTTTTGCTTCACTTCATCAAGGTGAAGGGTACTACATGCGCTGAATCTTGCTCAATTGCAAAAGTATTATTTATTGGGAAGACTTGCGTAGCTTCAATAACGTGTTGTAAAATACTTGTTGAGAAGCGGCTGATGCACAGGGCTTATTGTTGAATGACCTTCAATATGGCAAAAGCTTAAAGGAAGGTGCAATTTTCAAAACAGGATTTCAGCTTCACTTGATGTTTGCTTTGATCCTGGTTTATAGTCCTCCCACGGGACCCATGACTCTTTTCTTGAACCACTGGAGAAATCTCAGCAAAGATATTGCCCGCGGATTTATCAATGACTATTCTGCCGGGCCAATGAGAGAGGAACACCTTCAGGCACTAACATTATCTCATATTGACAAGATGCTACAACAAATGAATGCAAGCCTAGACCACGTGGGTTTGCGTATGTCAATGGAACAAATCAATTTTGTCAATAGGTTTGAAATCTCTTTGATGCCTTCTGGATACAAGGCCAATGCCGCAAAACAATACGAAATTGTGATAGCTTTACTGAACCCAGCTCAGAAATACGTTCACAATGTGATTGAGACCATAGTATTATTTGTTTCTTTTTCAGAGCAAAAGTTGGTTAGTTATCCAAGAATTATTATATCAAGTCAACTGGAACGGTCATCACAATCAACATGGAGCTACTGTGTGGGGTATCAGATATGGAAGAATTATTTGCTCCACGGACCAATTATAGGAAACGACCTTTTACGCCAACTTCAAATTTAAAACGGAATACAGAAACTACAATGTCCTCATCACCACTATCACCACTTTGGATGAAGGACAAGAAACAGGGAAATCTGACTCTACCAGTGCCACCTACATTGATCAGAACTGGAATCTTTAAGACCCCAGATATGGATGAACCAAATTATCAACAATCAAAACAACAACCACCAACATATCAACAACCAACTAATCAAAACAAACCAGTATTTATTGAGCAACCTGGACTTTTCTACAATGGACACCACTTCATGCAATTCTTAAGGCAATAAAAGATGGTGGCAGATTCACTTAATGCATCCAAATACGATCAAGCCCTACAGATTGGACGATTTATAAAAACTAAAGAACTCAAAGATCAAATTGAGTTGATGGACGGATACGAGGAATATGACTGGGATAATCTACGTGCCTCAATGATTGAATCATGGGGTTATGAATCTACAATTCTATATACAACAACCAACCTAGTGACCAAGTCTCATGATTTCAAATTTGTGCTCTGGAGCTCTGGAATCCAAAAATAGGCAGCCACTTTTCACTGTCTAGGCACTGTACTCACATTCCACTGTGTAACTACATACTCAAAAACAAAGAATTCTGTAAAGTAATCAATAAATAAAGAGTTACAGAACCAACTCAGCTGATTACATAAACAAAGTTCACTGGATGAAAATTTAAGACAAACAAGGTTCCACGGCTTGTGCAACATGTACAACCTTGTAGTTTAGCAACTATAACCAAGTAACCCATTTGGGCCACATATTCTAACCCCTGACCAGCCACTTGTTCATGTAACCTGTTTTGTTTATCCCTAGCCTTAGAAACCTCTCTGAGCAAACTCAGAATATCCTCTTACATCAGCCATCCACCAGAACAACCCTAGTCCAGTTTGAAATCAACAGGGTTGAGAATTGGCCCATTTCAATCTGGCCCAAGTAGTAAATCTGTTCTCAGCCAGTACATATCATAATACCTCAACCAAACCCCTCCTAAATGGATTTGAGAAAAAAAAAAGTGGAGGACTTCCCGTTGCCATTTAGAGTGCTTTTTAAGCCCTCCCCAGTCCTAAATTAACACCTCAATCATAATTCCAACCAGCTCACATAAAAGCTATCTTCCCAAGGCTTATGAAAAAACAATTTTTTATATCAAAAATTAAGATCTAGGGGGTGTAAATCAAATTCTGGGAGGGTTGTAAACGGCAACAGGAAGTCATCCAGTCTCCTTTGGGTATCTAGAACCCTAGCAATAACTTGGCATTGCATCATAATTTCCTGACTGGGTAGCTTTACCCATGGTTACAGTTACAACTGTTTCAGCCTTTGGGATATTGATAACCAAGGCGTTGGGCAAGGCTTCCAACCAGCCAAACAGGCCCAAAGCATCAGTTTCATTGTGTAAAAATGCACTGTAAGCCACCTTCAGGTGTGTGGCTATATAAAGACTCCTTTATTGAGTGCTTGAACCTCAAAAATTCACCCACTTCACCACTATATACTTGAAGCCAGCATTTACAACCATTTCTCTTATCAGCCCAAACTTGAAGCCAGCATTTACAACCATTTCTCTTATCAACTCAAGCATTCTAACCACAAAACAGAGCTCCTCTTCTCTTTTACTGCTACCTCCAGCCTTAACCTGTAGCCCTTTCCCTTAAAAGATCCCAGATCTTTATTCCTTTAAAATTGGCCAGTTCTTACTTTCTGTTGCAGAAGTATTGCTCTAGAAATTGCTCAGGAATTCTCAACTCTCCCAAAAACCTTTTTGGAAGAACTCCCTGTGATCTATTGTCTAACAAACAAATTAACTTTTCCCCAATTCCTCCCTTGGAATTCAGAGTGTTGATTAACACTCAACTCATAGCCTCTCAACAAGTAATATTGTGAGTTTATAATTTCTTTGATTGTTTAACCAACAATCCCCTTTTTTTGTAAGCTTAAATATACTTTGAACTTTAAAATTTACTCCAAAAATTACTAACAAAATTAATTAGGACAGGAATATTACTAGATTTTCCATCTAGTTTCATATCCAGACCTTACAATGGGCAAGAAGATAAGGTGGAGAACAACAGAGTCAAAAACATATATAAGAGAGGAGATTTGGTTAAGTAGAACAGAAAAACAGGTTCAACTCAAGAGTTGATGTCTCTGGTGCCTTCACAAGCTGTGATATCTGTTTTTTTGGCAAGCTGGGCAAGTTTGTTGGTCAAGGTTAAACCTTCTAATGGTGAGATGGGTGAGATGAGTGAGATCAGCTTAACCATCAACCTGCTCATCCCATCACAAACTGCAGCCAACCCCTCAGCCATATCATCAATCTCCAACACCACACTCATCTCCTCAACCATCTCATCACCCATTTCAACCACCCAACTCTCAAACACCAGATTCAACCAACCCATCACCAATCAATCTCAAACCATCACCCTTGTCAGACACTGGACTCAACTCACCATCAATCTCAAAGACTGCACTCAACTCATCAACATCCTCCAAGACCGGACTCAACTCATCACCAATCTCAAACACTGGACTCATCAATTCAAAACACCAGCCATCAACCATCTGAATCACTCAATGCAACTTATCATTGTTCTCAAAAACATAACACAATCAACAGTCAGAAACTCTAGTATTCAAGCAAAAAACCAAGCTAGAGAGTCCCATAATCCACCAACACATCATGGCCTCCATCACCAAGAGACAGCACTCATCAAGGAAGAGGTCTTTTGCAGAAGCACAAGAAGAAGAGAAAACAATGGTAAATATAAAGTGAGAAGAGAAACAGCCGTGTTAATGATCATGGGGAAACTGATGAAGAATCCTGAAGAGGAACCAGACCCAGTGGAAGATGAAGAATCCTGAAGAGGAACCAGACCAGGATCAAATCTAAAGAATATTGACACCAACACCAACTTGACTTTGGACAACTTTGGAAGCCAATAAGTCTTCTGATTGGTTCAGAAACTCTGCAAGGCTTTCAAAAACAAAAGAAATTCAGTTCAAATTGTGTTCCACCCAAAGTTCAAGATACACTTTTTTCGACTCAGCAAGCTACATCAAAATGAAACTTATGCTTTATTTGATTGGCAGGGTCAGTGAAACCACACCTTGAAGTTTCTGTGAGATTTAGTACTGGGGAAACCCCTACAAAAGAGGCCTTTATATAGGCCTCTAAGACACACAAACAAAATGGAACGGAAGATATAGCCACATGGGCAGGGAAATGAACTACCATAGTGCAGGACAAGCCCCTGTGGCTTTAACAGACACAAAAAGAGAGGGAGAGCCATAGCTCTGGTTCTAGTGCCTCTCTCGGTACAGAATGAGTGCGCCTTCTTTTAACTTTACCCATTTTGGGGCCCATTGGTCCAAAACAAATTTTTGTAAAAATTGACTGGTTTCTGATGGTGGATTTCCTTCATTTGATACCCCTTCAAATGATTTTTCTAAAAATTAACTGGTTTTTAATGGTGGATTTCCTATATTTGATACTCCATATTAACATTTTTGAATTAGGAGTGTAAGATAACATTGATCCATCAGGGGAGCCTGTACCAGTTGATCAGGAACTCCAAGATATTCAAACCCCTAAGGAAATGTTACATCTGCCAAGTGAATTGAGGGTTGATTGGTTGGATTGGAAATGGATGGATCAAGATAAAACCACATGTGATAGAGCCATTCAGATTGGAGGTTTGCATTTGCTTTTCATGTTGGGATTGAGCTCTCCCAAGACTATCAAGTCCTTCCTTTTCATAAGCTTGACCTTGAGTGTAAAACAAGGTTGGTTCATCAACAGCTCTGCCAGGCTATCTGTGTGTTGACTCAGGTCAGCCAATTGTTAATCTTTAGGTAGTGTAGTCTTTCAAGACAGTCAGAACTGAAAAAGGGACTTCTTCCCCTTCATGCAAGCACATCTTCTCAATCTGAGTACTGTCTAGATCAAAGGTCAACATAGAAAGCCTGGCAAACATTTCTGAGATGTTTGGCCACTTGAAGGATGTCCTTGCTGTTACCAAGTATTTTGAGCATGTCTTCACCTTCCACAAAGTAAAACTGGGGGAAGAATGATTGCTTGCATTCCAGATACTCCCCTAGAGCCTTTGTAATTATCTTGGAGATTCAATTAGTTCTTCTGGAGTTTTAAGGACCTTGGGTATCCAAATCACATCCAGGATGTATGGTGATTTGAAAACTCTTTCCATGAGGGCAACATATTAAGCATTGATGTTGTTGAACCAGTTGATTTTGTTGGGAAACAAGGCTCTGATGTTGGTGTTGCCTGAAAAGATGCCTCCAAGGTACACTCATTGATGTTGAACATCACTCGAATTGTCAAATATCTTGCTCATCTGCTCATCTGGTTCTAGCAATCAGTCCAAATCATTGCATCATCTTTGTAAGTCTTCTAATAAGGTTAAAGTTTCATTTGTGCCAGGGCACTTCTCTGCTTGCTACGTTTGTCCAACAGGTTATGTCATCCTCCAATAAGGTGTGTTCAACCTGGGAGCACAGGACATATAGTCAACCTGTGGGAGAGGTGATTCTAACAAGTAACACTAAGGCTACTCACCTCCCTGATGAATAGCACCACAGCCAACTGCCTTCTTTCCTGGACGGCTTCATTGTTAGCTGGGAGCTCCCTCCCTTCCACCTTGGCCTGCAATTGGAGGAGCAAGGTTGGCGTGGAGGCTAGTCACAGGGTTCTTCTTCTTGGTGTGTTTCCTGGGGCTGGTTTGATGATTGTGTTTCTTGGTGCAATTTTCCTTCCAATCCTTCCTAACCTTACTACTCCAGGTCAATTCGTTGGTTGCTTGGAGCTGAGGATGGGTGAAATAATCCTGGTTCTCACCTTTGAAACCTCCCTTGTGGGAAATGCCATAGAGGATTAATTGTCTGCTGCAAGAAATGTTTCCTGGTCAAGCCTAGAGCTGGGTGTATATATACCCAGTCCTGGACAATCCGGTTCCAATGATTAATCTATAGGGCTGAATACTGTTTGCTTGAGAATGTCGGGTGGAATTTCAGGTGGGTGTACCTGCAGCTTTTGACAACGACCTGAAGAGGGATGGACAAAGGTAATTTTGGGGGTTGGTGAGGCATGAGAGCTAATGGGTGGTAAATTATGAAACAAATTGGGATTGCAATAGGGTGTACATGAGACTAGGACAATGGGGAGCTCACCAATAGGGGATATCAAATATAGGAAATCCACTATTAGAAACCAGTCACTTTTCCCAAAACTTTCTTTTGCATAAATGGGCCCCAGAAGGGTTTCAATGAAGAACCAACATGTTTAAAAAAGGGTGGATTTTTTCAAACCAGTCAATCAAATAATGGTGGATTTGGTTATATTTGATACCCCCTAATGAGAATTACCTCCCCAGGGGATGATCAATCTCCATTGGTAGACAAGCCCACCAATGAGGATTAAAATCTTCCCCAGGGAGGATTAATCCTCATTTGCCAAGTTTATAAATTACATTGTTTGATCTGACCAATGTGAAGAAATCTTGATAAAATTGCTAAGAGCCGAAACCAGTCTGAAAGAGAAAACACAAGTTGGAGACATTAAGGAAATAAGAAACATAAGAAAAAAGAATAATAGCATACCACTAGTGATAGACAAGGATTGACAATTAGAGGACTTTTGATAAAGAGGTGAGGAAGAAGAGGTTTTAAGATAGAAGACTGAGAATAGAGAAAAGAGGCAGACAATAGATGAAATTAAGCAGGTCAGTGATTTCTTCATCAAACAAAAGACAACAAAGAACAAGAGAAGGAAGGAAAACAACAGTACAAATAAAGAAGATAAGAGAAAGAAACAAACAGTATGTTTTTTTTATTAGTGCCGACGACTCAATGTTGTTGAGGAATAAATCTTGAGAATCAAAGGATGCAGAGAGGCTAGATTGTGTAAGTACAGAAGGCAGGTCAGGCTGGACTTTACCGATTCAGGTCTTGATGGTCTTGGAGTGATCTTGAGAGTCTTGATCAAAAATTGAGGATGAGAATCTTGCCAAGTCTGAGGAGCAAACAACCGGTACAGGAAGTCTTTTTATTAGGCGGTTGTGATTGTCTATCTCATTGTGCTGCGGCAAGTGTACCAGACACAGCAGATAATGCGAGCGGGCAACACAATGCCGCCAATTTCAGCTGTTTGCCCAGTTGCCCCCAAATGTAGAACCCAATGGTTGCCTAACAACTACGCCAGGGTCCCATTGGCCTCACAGCATAGCAGCAGATGAACAGCAACACCCAAGCCTAGTAAAATGCAGCACCCAGGGGATGGCTGGACAAAGGCCGGAAAGGCCTCAATATAGGGGGCACAATCCTTGATTGAGCCAAGCAATTCCTGCACCAACACTTTGTCCTCCGCCAAGCTCTTTCCTTTCCGGATTCTCCCCACAATCACATCTGTTTCCTGTGGCAACTCATAATGGGGTTAAAGATCATTCCCTATATTGAGCTGTGCTTGTTTCTAAAAGTTTTACTCTTACCTATTCTACATATGAAATCCAAGTTTGTCTTACGCTCCACAAATTAGCAGGTCGATTGAATGTGGTGTCTGAAAATCTAACAAGGAGTTCAACTTAAAAATACAACTAAAAATATTTCAGTGAAGGAAACGTAGATGACTCAAATATTGCAGATTGAAGTCGTAGAAGAGAGCCATACAAAAAAGAAAAAAAAATAAGAGCAGACACGGTTGCAACTGGATTGTGCTGATGGTGCACTTCTCAAGATTATGTTACAGCAGTGTATTTGATTTTGTCTCTGGCTGCAAGACATTTGTTAGCTTAGAATACAAAGAAAGAGAAAATAGGTAAGTCATTTTTCAAGAGTTTGATTGATTTTTGACTCTTTTTTCCTCAAATTCTGCTCTTGATCAGATTTCTTTAAAATTGTCTGATGCAGAATGGTTAGAGCACTCAGCAGTGCTGGCTGATGTGGTTCCTGTCAAGGCAGCTTCAGACTTGTCTTTAATTTTTTTTTTTCCTTTTTGTCTTCAGCAGCCCTATAATTTAGCAAATAAGTTTCAGGTCAGCCAAATGTGCAGGTCAACTATGTACAAATTTTGTACACACTTTTCCAATGTAGCAACAGACTTTTCCATTGTAGCACTGGGTGGTCTCCCACTGATGCACATGCAGTTATAGGGATAGGGCTGGACAAGGCAACAAAAAAGGATGTTAGAGATGAATTGATTATCTTCAAGTTAGAGAGAAGATAAGAATGTACCTTCTCTCTAGCCATGATAAATCTAAGTGTAATTGCCAACGGTAAAAATCTTCCAATCTGAGTTGTTGGATGAGGAGAAATCATGCTGAGAGGGGGATCAGATTTTCTGTGGTGGGGGGAAGGTCCTAAATAGGCACCAGCTTATCATGCATAACACAATTTTGGTGGATGGTCAATCCTTGAGGTGACCAACCGCGTTGATCAGAGCAGATGAGAGGGGAAATCTGTGTTTCTGATAGAAACAAGATTCAAAGGCCTGAGATTGGCATCCTAGTATATCTTTTCTTGGGGTCCCACACAGCTAAAAGTATATTCCTTGAAACATTCAAGTTGACCCCTCTCTCCTGTTTTGATTGGAGGACTTAATAGGGGGTATCAAATATAACCAAATCCACCATTATTTAATTGACTGGTTTGAAAAAATCTACCCTTTTTTTAAACATATTGGACCTTCATTTAACCACTTTTAGGGCCCATTGATGCAAAAAAGAAATTGGGGAAAAGTCACTGGTTTCTAAGGGTGGATTTCCTATATTTGATACCCCCTTTTTACAGGCATTGTAAAGATAAATTTACATGATGTATAGCTAATTTTTTGCTGGGAAAACAGTTATACAGCCTGTAAAGCTAGCTTTAAGAGGCCTGTAAAACCGACGGGTAGACCTCCAGTTTCTTGACTTTAAAGCCTTGAGGATGCAGCTGGAGGGCTAATCAGGAAAGGCCAATGCTGTGGAGCTGCAAAAATGCTAAAGATACAATGCAAACTATGGAACCAACAGCTCAAGTTTATAGACAAGGAGAATAATAGCTTAGATGACTGAAGACACAAACAAGGAGGGAAAGCTTGAGACTCTAAATACCGGAGAAGCACTGAGGTAATCCTCCACACAATTAATATCATATGGCACCCTATATATATATTTTACCTTTTAACATTCTGCTATCATGTCTTTCAGTGATTTTTTCCCCTCAACTATATTTCTTGAATACCCTTCATAAACTATACAGCTTTATTCTTGCATACCGAAGCATGGACTAGGAGTGGGCAACACTCTGCCGGGCATGTTTCCACGAGGATTATTCACAAGTTCAATCCAATTGATATGGACTTTTTTTGAATTCAACACCATCAAGCTCTCCCAATTTTGGCTAAAACCAAACCTATCCATCCAAGAACAAGCCTGCTGCCCAATCTCTCTGGTCTATCTCACCACATTGGCCAATATTCTGTCATTCATTATATCAAACATTGAACATGAACAAAACAGTGGGGCAGAATGCAGGTCCCCTTCTTGGCCGATAATTGCTGCTTGGGCCTTAATACTCACAAAATATGCATCATCAACTCATTTAGCTTACCATATCTCAAGCAGGTGTAGTCTCCTTTGGATTGAGCTCAGTTTCAAGAAGCTTAAACCCGCAAACCTTAACTCATGGTGATATTTTTGGTCATTGTTGCAGGGGTGGTTGGGGCAGTTCTTGATGATTTATATTTCTGTGGTTGTTGTGATTAAGGTGAGGGAATTGGTTATGCTTGGGATTTATTATCAGTTGGCTGGCACAGCAGCCAACTGCATCTACAACCATTGGGCTGTTTTGAAGTGGACGATTGGTATGATGAATCATAATTTAATTAGACCAAATTAAAAGAAACTGACACTCAAGAAGGCAACTGATTATGCAATGAGGTGGGAAAAGCAAAAGAATCTGTTTCAGAGATAAAGGAAAGGTGTGGGCTAACTGAGCTCAAAATTGGAGACCAGCAATTTGTTGGCCAAGCTATCAGCTGTTTCAGTTGCCCACTCAAAGGCTGCAGCAAGCCCAGTGCGTTTAAGGTCAGCAGGCCCAGATGGAATGTCCCAGAAAGCCAAGGGGAGGGCAGAAGGGGGCAGAAGATGTGGGACACACTGGGAGTAAAAGGTGGCTTTAAAGGACTTCCTCTGAGGTGGTCAAGGTGAAAAAACACAGAATCCAGCCTAGGATGGGTTGAGTCAACCAGTGATTAGGGCCAGTGGTAAAGCAGAGGAGATTTAGATGATCTGCTTGTCCTCTGGACATGAGCCCAAGATCCCATTTGGATGCATTGTTATCTTCATATATTCAAAAAAATAGCCTCATAGGCCCAAACAAGCTGTCAGGCTTTCAAGCCTTGTGTTGTGCATCAATTGACCTTTAATGTATTGATTTCTCATGCAGCTTCTAATGCTGGCGTCAAAGTTGGAGACTGAACTGGCCATTCAGCCAGCAAGTAAAGGGCTGATGTAACACAATCAACTTCACAGTTGCAGCTGAGGCCATTGCTTCGATCCAATCTGAAATCATTCTGATCTTGCTGAGTCTCCCCAAACTTGATGAATCTTGGGCTTGCTGAGCTATCAAGCATCCTCTTGGCCTACAACCAATCACACCCCAGCCTCCTGGATTCAGATTACTGTCAAAAGCTATTTCAAACCCACTTCTTTTCTAAAGAAAACATTTTTTTGTTTGAAAAATTCAACAATGCATTGACATTAATAAATATGCTATTACCAAAGATAAAGCCATATTTGAGCAAACATAGACAGAATTTTATTTGGAGATAGGATTAAAATCTACATTTGAAAGCATTCCCGAAAATAGCATGGATATTTTCAAACAAATTGCTCCCATTTATATTCTAACCCATTATATCTCCCCTGATTCCAGGACAAAACATAGTAAGTGTGACCTGATGCAAAATAAATGTTTTCAATACCTTTTCAGTGTTTGAAAGAACTACATTACATCTACTTCCCTTACCCACTTGGCTCATTTGCTCACTTGACCTGCAAGAAATAACAATTTCCAGTCATATGTTGGTCAAAATGGGAAACATAAACAACTGTAATCATGGCTATTGTTTCAATTGAAAACTAGAGTGTTTTAATTAAGAATCAACTATTATGGTTTCTTCCTCGGATCTTAGTCAACCTATACCTCAAAACAATTGAATGCTGACCATGTGCACATTTCACAGTAGCTGTGTATAGTCTGTTATTGGCTGGTGCTTTGAATGTCTTGGGTCGCATGTGGCTATTATTTCAGAGAATCGGCCCAACAACTTTCCTGCTCCTCCTTCTAACATATGCAATCTTGTGCCACCTGCTCCGCCATGGAATCCTTCCCAGCCAGTTCCATCCCCTCAGGCCTCATTGCAAGTGTCGCAAGTACCAATCCAAGCATCACAGCCCATATTGCACCCTGCTGCTCTTGTTTCTCCAACCCCTCCCAATCCTGCATGTGCTGGATCCAATGCCAATTTCCGGGGTGCTGTGAAGGGAAAGTGTTGCAAGAATGGTGCACCGACACCCTACACCAGAAAGAGCAAGCCAGCACCAAAGATGAGCATACCCGTATCATAAGTGGGGGAATAGCTCACTACTACCAGTTGACCAAGCTCAATAAGAATACTGGAATTTGCAGTCACATGCTTCCAGTCAACATTGATTCACCAAACTTGTATGAAGATCTTCAACAGCGTCTATGGGATTTGTTATGGCCCAAGCTCTTGAGTTGACAGCTGGTTGAAATGCTTACCTACAATCCTCTCCAGTACACATCTCTTTGAGCCATAACCAAAATGTGCTTGACCTTTCAACCCTCTCACTACTGGTGAAAGACCCCACCAAGGAACTTCCAACTAGTATCAATACCAGTACTTCAGCCTCAAGATCTAATCGGATCACTTGTACACGTGCAACTCCCCATAATCCAAAAGATCTAGCCAGCAATGACACATGGGCACTAGGTGGTACTGGAGGTAAGGTTCCTGCTTTAAAATCACATAGAAGAGTATGCTCACTCACACCAAACTCCAATCTGGTATAGGAACTATCCTAGCCCTTGGAGATGCAAGCCTATCCACCCGCTTGAATAACCTTGGAAAACCCCTCTCAGCATCCATCAACATCAACCCCAAGGGTTGGGTTCTTGCCCAAAGGTTGAAGTTCAACAGTAGTGATAGTGATTATGTAAGGAGTCAGGCGTCCCATGTCTACCAGTACTTTCATGCAACTATGTTTCCAATCACAAACAACATCTGAGCAGGCTTGTTTTGACCAACGTCCTACATTTAAAAAGTTCTGAACTGCTTTAGTTTCCATCAACCATCCCCTTTTGGCCCATTCATCCAAAATCAAAGCCCCCAGCCATGAATTTTTCACTTCAGTCACACCCCCCTTCCAATCCAAATTTTCAACCAAATGGCCCATCTAATCTCAATTGAAGAAGAATTATCCAATATCATTCCCAACACCTTCCACATAAGACCATTCAAACTTGACCTTTCCATTTTTAACCATATCAAACACTGACAATTTGTCTCAAGCTTCCCTCAACTTTTTTCCTTCTTCTTCCAAACTGATTGCACCAATCTCATCCTTTAAATTACCCAGGAGACCATTCAATTCAACTCAGTGGCAACACTTTCTCATGATCGGGTCCATCTCATTGAAATCTCTAAATTCAACAATGAATTTGACACAATTTGTTGGTTAAAATCATAACACTCCAGGAAGTACAAGCCCTTGTTACCACATACAAATCAGCATATGATGCAGCATCCTTCTATATCCAATCCACTCCATGTCCGGAGGGCAATGAGATCCCTGCTGCTACCAAGATATATAAACAACTGGAATACAAGCAGTTGCCAATTCAATGCACCAAATACCAGCAAATTTGGTAGTACAGATTAAAAAAGCAAAGCCAACATTAAACCAATTTCCCGGAATCAGCAGATCCATTCTAATTACACTTGTGGGATCTGATGATCAACTTGATCAACAAATTTTAAAGCCACGTGATCTTAGGCTAGATGCTCTGATCATGCAGTCACATCATTTAATATGGGTTTTTTTCCCATACTGAAGCCAGAAAAATGAAACTACATATTCAAACCTATGTGGTTGTTCCAATGTTGAAGGATTTTGGGATAATTGAATATATCCAAAGCTGTGCAAACCACTTGAGACTTCATCTTGAATGTTATTTCTCAACTTGAAACGTTACCAAGCCCATCTCAAGCAAGATCTTATCAAAATGCCAAGGCAGAATAGAAGGATAGCAGTTGAAAAAAGAAGCATTCAACATGACCACTGCCATCCATTCAGTGCTTGGTTAACTTTCGCGAATTGGTGACAGGCACCCAGGAAACATATTAGTTTCTGAGGTCACCCAAGAGATAATTCATATAGACTTTGCATTCTGCTTTGGTCAATGTACTACCTTTGAAAACTATCCTGAAAATTTACCATTACAGCTCACTCCCTCCTTTCAAATACCTTTACGAGATCTAACCATTAGGTCCTGCCATCAAGCTTGGAGTCATCACCCTGATATTCTTAACATGAGCATTCTCAACATCATTCATTCCAACTGCCCTACAAAGATTGTCAAGTACCACCAACGTTGCTCCTCGTACCTAGGACTGGAGGGCACCCTTGAATAGTTTCAACAGGAAATCCTCCATGTGATCAGATCAAAGTTGGAAAAAACAGAAGCAGTTGATAGTCAGACCCACCGACTTGTTCAGGAGGCCATGGATCCAACCAATTTACAATCCATGTGCCAAGTTTTGCTCCTTTCTTCAACTTTGGCTGGGTTTACTTATCCAAACATGCTTAACTCATTTTTCTTTTCTTCTACACCATACTGGGTGCCTGGCTTGTGAAGCCATGATCTTCTCCAAACCCATCCAAAAACCCACATATACCTTTTGCTACCACATAAATACATATCTTTTCATCGTTTTTGCCAAACCAGTTATCTATGCCCTTCCACCAGCCTTCTGCTCAAGTCCGACAAAAGCCATGCTCCTTTTGCCCAACCATCCCCACCACCCCAAAGCTATCCAAACCATTGATCAGCCTCAAATCAATCCCAGTGGTCAAGAAACACAAGCTAAGGCAGCCTCAACTGGAAGAAGCCTACTACTACAGTCAGCCAAAAACCATTCCGATGGATGCTACCATCTTCTTCTACCTCCAATCAGTCTTCCTTGCCCAACCTGTCACCTGAGCAGGTTCTTCCTGATAATACCTCCTCACAACCCTGCTGTGGTCCATGTAACGTTACGGGATGTCAGCATGTCAAACCATTTGTGTAATTCTTCTCGCGTGTCATTTCAAATTCTACTTTGGTTATTTCCATTTCATATATACATATATTTCAAATAACTTGTTACATAATCTGAATACTTATAAACTGTGGTTGCGGCTGGATATTATAGTTCTCCATCTTTCTTTACCGCTATAATATTCCAGTCAACACGCTCACAGTATTTTTCCGTTATCTTATAGTCCAAACAATACTTCTCACAAATTACCTCCTAAGAAATCCTTGACAGATCCCATTCAATTTCTTCTGATGTTTCATCATAATCAACTTCTGCTGCTTCCTATCTGACTACAAAACGGCCCCAAGCTGCCCCTCGGAGCTTGTCAAACCTTTCTGACTCAATTGCTAGTCTTGACCCACCAGTTCCTTGAGTACACCTGCCGGTAGCCATCTCGATTCTTCATTCTCCTTACATCATTTGCCCAGCCTCTAGGCTGAACAAACAAAGTTCAGGAGGGCTTGTTCCCAAACAAACATGCTTGTATGTTATCATACTTTTGGAGTGTTTTTTGAGATAAAAATTATAGAAAAATGACCGCTGACTGGTATCCAAATGAAATTTGGGGTGGGTGTGCCCACGATGGAGACCTAAGATTCCTTCATCAAGGAAAAACTGAGAAATATGTAGAACTACATACTTGAGTGTCATTTGGAGTGGCTGTGCACCTCAACCTATATGCATGTGCACTTTGACTGCTAGCTTACCCTAGATTGACAACATGGTCCACTGTGACCTTCCTGACTTTGCCTGCAAAAAAGCAAAACTACATTCGTGGTGGCTGCTTCAAAAATTGCTGCACCAAACCATGCCAATCACGCGCGTTTGTGCGTTTTTGGCACAAGTCCCTTGTTTGGAGGCTTGCTTTGCAAGTGGCGCCAGCCAGCCCAGGTACACCAGGCCCGCAGAAGCAAGGGACTTGCTTCAAGTTAGATGTAAAAGCAGACTGAGTAATCTAAGCCAAAGCCATTTTCTTTGAAGCATCTTGCTGGAACATCTTAGAGCCAAAGAGGGTTTAATGGATAACCAACATGTTTAAAGAAGGGTGGATTTTTTCAAACCAGTCAATTAAATAATGGTGGATTTGGTTATATTTGATACCCCCTACTATTAGCCTTTTGTGACAATCAAAACTGAGCTGTGGTGCCATCAACAGATACAACGATTGCAGTAGACAAGTTGGCAAAAAAAACAGTATGATTTTAACTTTGTGTTGCTTCCACAGGCTGCTGATAATGCTGTTTTTTCTTGGCCAATCTGAACTTTTTATCCATTTTCAACTTTGGTCAAAAAGGTTCATCAATTGTGTTGCCATTGATAGCCATTCTTGGGGAGGAGTAATGCGTAAGATCCTGATGGTGATCAGATTTCTCATAAATATATCTAAACAGTTGAACAAGAATTAAACAGCCAAGTGTTTTGATGAGCTTTTCACTCAATCAGGATATTGCCAAAATCATTGGACATCATTCCAAACAAATGTCTAATAATATATTCCAAGAAAGCCAAGACTTGATGAAGACACACAACATTCTGTCTTTTCCCTCTCTTGAATTTGAAAACAAGAAAATCTTCACACTTGTAAGAATTTACTACTAATTATTTAATCATTCACCCCATGTTGATGAAGAGGACATTTCTTCACTTGCTTTTGCTATATTTCTTCCAACAGTATCTTCTGACAGTAGTTTAGCTTCTGACCCATCCACATATAACATATTCTTCAGCCGTTTGATTGTCTTTCCTGATCACAAATTTGGTATCAACTTTGAACATCAACATGGGATTGTCAAAATATTTAGCAAGCAAATAAATACAAACATTGTTCCCTTCAGATATTTCTAGACCCCCTTCACCTCTAATTTGGGCGGTTGATTTAATTTTTAGGCTACACCTTGGTCTAATTCCTTATTATTTTCCTCACATCAGGCATCTTGTTTTCACAATTTACTGAGTTACTGCTTGAGCAGTTTGATGACAGCCCTCAGCAACATTCTTCTCATATACCACCCCTCTTGAAACTGTATCAACCTCCATATACACCAGTAGCTTCTGAATGGCCTTCCATTCTTTGTTGACAGCCGGGTGTTTTGACTTGTGTTTCAGGATGGCACTTTTGGTCATAGTGTTATCAATCCAGAGAATCAGGGTCTTCCCAGGACTTATCTTCAGCTAGCCTAGATCTATCAGGCCTAACAGAATGGCTACTATCTCTAGCCATGCTATATCGCATTTTGGCTCTTGGCCGTGGTTCCATTGTTTTGTCAACTGAAATTGGACCCAGTGTTGGCCAATGGTGATGCCTATGCCAAAGCTAGTTGAGGCATCTCCCACCCATCCAATTTTGGTGGGGTCCGGGTTCCAAATCATCCTAGTCTCCTTGAAGCACAGTAGCATTAGCAGTCACTCTGCCAGGTCTTGTCTAGCATCTTAGAGTAAGGCTAGTGGTGTCTTCCAATAGACCCACACGTTCATCCAACGGTATAAGCTGTTGGGGCAGGAGGTAGGAGACATGGCTAAGTTGACCGGCCATGATTTTGACCTGTTCGAAGGACAATGTTTTTGTCGGGTTTCAAGAACTCTTTAATCTATTGTACTCTCTGGAACATTTTGTCGTTTGGTGGTGTCACCATCTTCTGCGGTGTGTTCTAGATGAAACCAATATACTTCTGCTCCTCTTTAAACGGGGAATATTCAGTAGAGTTGGTCTTGACACCTAGCTCTTCAGACCTTGAGACAATCTGTTTGATTTTGACAGTGGACTGCTGGTGCTTCACAAACAAATTATTGTTGACCCAACAGAGGACCATCATGAGGTCAAGCTCCTTGAGCATTAAGTCCTTCCATGCGTCTGCTGGCCTGCAAAACAAGCCACAGCCTGCCACACCCCCTAATTGGGCTATCCTTGTAATTCAATGTACCGGTTGC